GCATACTCGGATTCTAACACGGTATATACTTTTTCTTTTCAGTATCCTTTGGTAAAGTTTGTGTTGTGATTTGGTGATCCGTTCGGCTTGCAGGTTTTCCGATAGACGCGTTGCGCTATCTTGGATGATGCTCGATACTATGCCGTGTCCACGTCTTGGGTGGAAGCTTCCGCTATCGGATCGTTCATCATCTGTCCATATGACACAGAGAATTTGTTCCCCGAGAGCAGTTTGGTTAGTCCATCTGCTGGATTCAGTTCTGAGGCTATCTTCAGTGGGTGAAAACGTTCAGCGTCGAATACTTCACATAGACAGTTCATGCGGATGCCCATATGCCTATTCCGCTGGGAAGTCTTTAGCTCCTGGCTTCTGGTTAGGTGCACTGTACTCGGCATTTGTACCAAAAGCAAGATAGTCAGCTACTGGATCTGCTTCTGCATGTGCAAGTAGAGCTTTGCACATGCCCGTTCCTGTATAGGGACCAGGGAGTGTAATTTGTAAATGCAAGCAGCGCCTTTCAACCTCTAAATATAAATCATCGAATACAAATCATCAAGGTCTGGGAGGTTCTGGGACGCCTTCTGGGGCTCTACCATTTCCCCTAGGAAGTCGCCGTAGGCAAACCGCGCACACTCCGACTGTCGCCGAGCAACATGCTAAGCGCAGTTCTCTCCGCCTGGCCGATGCGTGTCGTAACTCTACAATTTATGCTCGGTTTGACCATGGTCATTGCGACGGGGCCGCGTTACGCCGCACACGAACCACTGCAAGTGATCGCGAATAAGGTCCGTTCTATAAAGTGCTAGTAAATTAGCTCACGGGCCTTAGGTCGGTCCATTCAATAATCCATCGGAAACTTACGAGTACTACTCGTTGCCATTTTGCTCACGATCGAAAAAGAAGCGTCGTGAGGACTTTGGGGAGCGGCTTGTTGGCGATCGTAAAATCGTTTCACCCTACGAAGTGACTTTCCTTGATAACGTTCCATGGCGCCTTCTGTGTGAACAGTCTTTTTCGCGGTCTGAGCTTCAGATGTTCACTAAGGCGATAGAGAACGACTACTACTTCGAAATGTTCGTCGAAGACCTTCCTATGTGGGGTTATGTTGGTGAAGTCGAGGGAGAGGATGTTTTACTAGGACATCTCGAGACAATCAGGCGCTATATCTATCCACACCTTCACTTTTCTATCGGCTACAACGAGGACCAAGTGGTTTCTGTCAACGTGTCTACAAACCCTCAGCGCAAGGTAGACATCACAGAGGAATTCGATGGTACAGAGGTTGCCTTCTCCTACAGTGTTGAATGGGTGGCACGATCTGATCTCCAATGGGGTGCACGCATGTCACGCTATCATGATTCTCGGTTTCTCCCTGGAACGTTCGAAATCCACTGGTAGGGGATCCTCAG